AAGTGTGTGCACAGCCATACTACGGGACTGACCTGAAGTTGATGTCAGCTTGGATAAGTTGATTGAAATCAGTGATGTCCATCTGCTCATGTTTTGTGTCTTCTATTTCATATCATACATGCAGTAATTTGATTGACAGGTAGGAAACAATGTTTTGTTCTTCAGTTTGTTGTAGTTCTCTGGGAGAGAACGGGATGTTTACAAGAGCAAGTAGTTGAGCATGATGCCCAAAGATATTATGTCAATGATAGGGCCCACAGTTCTAACGTTTCTGGCCTGAGATAAAGGCCAGAATGCCTTTTTATTTACTTTGAGTCAGCTTTGTGGTTAGGCTGTGTTAACTAATAGAGACCACAAATGATGTAGCTTCAGAAAATCTCGAGGATGCTGAAAGCCTTTTAATAACCTTTATTTTCCTATTTTACACTAAAGCAAAGAGATCTGCGAGGCAAATGAAACCATCATGTGCCCTATGTGTGAACGCAATTGCACACTACAGAAGCTCAATGAAAGCTGCATATATGCCAAGGTAATTATTAGTTTACTGCTATCATGAATGTTTTTGTCTAAAGGCCCACATTCATTCTGCAATGGCAGCCCTTATTGCAGCACAGATTTCAGATTGTGTCGTTTATGAGTTTTCAGCCTCTGTATTCTGTGCTTCTAAGAATGGAATAATCTGGGAGGTGCGGAGGTGATTCTAAAATTTGCTTTACTTTCTGAGAATATTTTCTTCCTACATCATTATTTCTGTTGATTGATAAATTCCCCTGAATTAAAAAAAAATGATAATCTCGGGAGTTTATTCCTACTTTTCTCTATGTTTTGTTGTTCTCTGCTTGCTTGGTAACTAAATTTCTGCTCTTCAAAAGGATTTCTCGAGCATTTCACAGGATTATCTTGTCTATGATGTACTATACTTTGTCAAACTAATGCAAAGAATTAACACAACTAAATATTTTGCTAGTAGAAGCCATCCTTCAAACTTAGCTGATCACAAGTACTTCTGTATACGTGCAGTGCTTTCAGGTGAGCAATATGCTTTGATGTTTGCTATGTTCATGGCTGGAAGAGCAGCCTTGGCATTTTTCTCCAATTTCTTTAGCCCATAAGACAAGCTTTGCTCAGAAGTCAGGGTTTAATTTAGTTATAGAGCTGTGATTGTCTCTGGATCCATGACATCACGAGAACACTAAGCAGTGTAAAAGAGAATCAACTCTTCATTGGATTTAGAAACCTGATTTCAACAGGACTTGAAGTAGAACTCTGAACTTAGAAACTTCATGTGAAGGAGCATTTGATAAACGTTTGACATGAATGAAATGATCAGTATTTGTAAAAATTTGGCTTTTTATTTTTGTGATGCCACTTTGAAAAATGAAAAAGTTGTATTTGAACAACAGCAATAAATACTGCTATAAATGTTACATTTAAGGCTAAACTGTGCTTGGTTTTTACATACTGCTGTAACTTTATGGCAAAATAGAACTTTTTTCCTAACTTGAACTACTTTCATAAGTTTTTAAAATGTGCACTGAAGATAAAAGCTTTCTTAATTGAAATGATATTATGCAAAACTTACAACCCATCCCAGAAATATCTTATTAGATGACAAGCAACTTGTGCAGCAAGTTACTGCAGTTTGACAGGAAATTAATACACATTGCTATTGGGGCATATTTTATTTTAACGACCTCAGTTAATAAAAAGCAGATTTTGTCTTTCAATTATGTTTATATTGCATCTGGCCCGTGAGTCATGCTTTTTAATGTCACATTTTGGTGTCTGCAAAACTTGTGGAAAGTAATATAGGCTCCCAGCTTTTTCTGCCAATGCTTTAGCTCCACTAACTAGCCAACCTCAGATGGAAACACAGAAAACAAATAAGTTTTTCCTATTGGGATCTGTCTGTTCTGCATCTCCCCTGTCTGGGGCTGATCAGTGTTCTGCATACATGGATAACGTGTGCTTCATGTGCAAAGATTGATCTTCAAAGGACAGACAGAAGCTTTTCTTTGGGAAAAAATATGATAACCATCTGGCTACTAGAATGGCAAAAGAAGTTCATGAGGTTTTATATTACTGTGTAATGCCTTCATTCTCTGTGTTGTCTCCAAAGAAAAGTTCTTTACATCTTCAGTCATCTCTCTCTTGCTAGGAAAGAGAGGGCTCATATCCTGCTGATTGTCCTGTGCTGCTTGAGTTGAGCAGCAAAAACCCAAGCACTGCATCTGCATGGCAATGAGTGAATGAAAGTGATCTGTAATGCTAGAAAGTACAATCTTACTTCAAATGCAATATTGCTTTGTACTTTCTGAAGCACCATTAATAACAGAAATAGAAATATTTTATTTAAAAATAAGGCATCAGATCTGAACTCTGGGTAAAGAAAATGGCATTTCCTATTTGCTTTCTATACCTGAAACGGAGCCTGTCCGTGTTTCCCTCTGGTTTTGTTGTTTAGAGAATTTGACTTATTTCTACACCTTCCTCACACACAACCAAATAGCTGTATACAAGGGAGGTTCTTCTTGTTACATTTCAGGGAAACACACTCTTGTTCTGGAATAAGACTTTTGTTACTTATTCTGTTCTTTGAAGCAACTCATTGTATGTAAGTATGCTCGCATTAAGTTTATCAAGAAAAGTGAATTTTACTTCCTCAAGCCTGCTTATGTCCTGGGACCTGCCTCACTTATGTGAAAGACTTGGGCTCATATTTCTTTTTATTAAAATTGCTGTCAGGGTTTCTTTCATTAAACATTCCTTTCTTACATTTCCCAAGTTTCCCTTCAGAGGAGTACTTCAGAGAAAGCAAAGTAATGCAGGAAAATCATGTACTTCAAATGCTTTTTCTGTAGTTTCTTGCCAGGCTGGCAGACAAAATACAAAAGCTACGTTTTTCCTTCTTGCTCCTGCACATTTCTTTCATCCCTTCCCTCTTTTTTTTTCCATGTCTGTATAAAAATAATCCATTACTGTAAAGAAAGTCATGTAATATCTCACTTGTAATCTGAATTGCTGAACGCCCAAGCTGTCATCCTTACCCACTTGATCTCTTTGATTAGCAGAGGTGATCAGCGTGATGCATGGTTGGCTCTTGGGCTGGTTCTGTTCCCAGCACACCTTGCACTGGAGCTCACTGGTAGGGTGTTGATTCGGAGTGGATTTGAAGTGTGTAAAGTCATAGTGATGGTGTGCTGACTGACCAGCATCCTGACTGAGTGTGGTGCTTCTTCCTCTTCAGTTTCTCATCCTAGCATATGCCTTATTACAAGTTAGTCTGCATTATCTTGTAACATTCTGTGCTTTTTTTCTTATTTTTCCCTTTCTCCAAATTGTGAATTTGAAGGCTGTAGTTTCCTTCCTAATGCTCAACAGCATCTTAACCACCTTTCATAAGAAGAAACGTAGGTCCGCTATTCCTGGATAATTTACAGTGCTGTCAATTGGCAACATGACCTCGATTTAAAGAGCATCATATCATTCATTTCAGCTTCCTGAATACAACTTCTTTTTATGGTTGGCCTATAAAAAGCTCTGGATTTCTGTTGTAAAAATTTTAATGTATGCACAAGAAAGATTCCTAGGGTGATCCACAGGCTTGCAAAAACTAATTATGCCTTACTTTCTATTGGTAATCTTTGAACCTTACAGCAGGATACATATTCTGCCCCAGAGAGCTTACAAGAAAGAGTGAGATAAGGGATAAATCATGGAATTGTAGGATCAGTAGTAGAGCATTTATGAAGGGAAATTAAATACATGACTTATATTTACATTTCAGAGTTGATTACTTAGAATTTATTGCGTGTTTCTTGGAGTTGAGGGGTACTGGCCTTTCAACAAGGAGAATTTGCTGAGATGTCTGTATGTAAAGTAATTTTATTTCTCTGCCTGCAGAGAAATTGTGGAATAGCTTGGGAGAAGTAGAGAATGAAATTGAGACATTAACTAATATTCATAGGAAGAACAGTGAAACATCTGAAGTAAATTGGGATCGTGAAAGCCTTAAAATAGAAAATGACCTAGAATCCAAAGGCAATTCTGGAGGAATTTTTAGCCTGTCTGGTCACAGAGCATCTCCTACTTGTTGTCAGTGATGTAAGCAGTCTGGCGATGCTTGAAGTGATAGGCTAGAAAAACAGCTCAAATTATAGACAAAAATAGGATGGAACAAACGTTGATAATAGAAGCATGCAAGCAGGACTCCCTCTTGGAATGCTTGGCTTTTAATTTCTGCCATCACATATGTACTCTGGGTTTCTTTGGTGCTGAAGTGAAAGTGGCAATGTTGTTTGTTACTGATGTATTTATTTTCTGTTCAGGTTACACATTTGTTTGATAACGGAGGGACTGTCTTCTTTGCTATTTTCATGGCAATCTGGGGTAAGTAAATTTTAATATTTTGTTTTTTAATTGACCTGCCCCTTTTTGAGGATTACTGGATTAAAAGGTTGTAGTTAATAATAAAAATTAAAGAAGGATTAAGTTTCTATTGCATAAACACTTATTTTTTCCTGTTTTCATCCACTTCAAAGCAGTGGTTGAAAATAATACCTTGTATTGCTAATATAATGACTATCTTTAGTGTCTTAAGTGCCCTTAAGCCTGAGTTTTATATCATGCAGGCAAACATGTGGGGGTAATTTCATAGAGTCACAGAACTCTTACAGTTGGAAAAGACCTTTAAAGGTCATTTAGTCCAACTGCCCTGTAATGAACAGAGCTACAGCAAGATCAGGTGCTCAGAGCCTGTGTAGAGAATTCTTACAGAGTGAATGAGAATGCTTTGCAGAGCTAATTAGAGGATAATAAAGATTTGATGATAGATGTTTACAGCAATTTAACTATTTATATTCAAATTCACAGTTGAAATAACACATTCATTCCAACATCACGTGCTGTGTCATGGGGAGTGGAGCAGGGTGCTAACCAAGGGGCTATGTTGAACAGGAATTACCAGTAACACTTTTCTCTTTGAGAAGGTCAATATAATACTGCCACACAAAACAGATGTGATGGTTCCAGCATGAAACATTTAATGGAATTAGTTGTCACTGAAGCTTATAGTATTTTGCTGCTGGAAAGTAAAAAAGACTGGTATTAGGAACAGGAGATAATTAATTTCACCAATGTAAACATGTGTCTGTGTAAACCCTGAGATAATAGCATCAGGTCACATACATACACATGTCAGAAATGGAGCCAGCTATTACAATTCTAAATATTCAAATGACATAACATATCTATATTTACATAAAATATAAGATAATTTCATAAGACAATAATGTAATAATATTATATATAATATATAATGTAATAATATATATAGCATAATGTAATAATAATAATAATGTAAGATAATATCATAAGATAATGATCATTCTGTTTACAGTCAAGGGTGAACATGTTACAGATTTCAGAAGCTGGCCTGGTAAAAGCTGAAAAACAATATACAAACCTGAAAGATGTACCAGAATAGCACAAACCTTATGCACATGCACGCAGAAGTCATGACTAGATTAAAAATTAGCACAATTGATGGGTATCCTTGGGTTCCCTTCCAACCCAAGCCATACTTGATACTTCTTCATTGGCTCCTACTCTTCCTGTTATAGCCTTGCAACTACTAATAATTAATTGCATAAACTGCTAAAATACACAGTTGCTGCGATGGTTCTGTACTGATGGAGAGAGTAGTGGTTCAGACGAGGCCAGGAGAAAGGGACACATAAGATGTGCTGGTAAAGCTAAAAGCTGAGCATTGCGTTTTTTTGTATTCTCAAGCAAGTGAATGTGTCTTCATTTTTTCAGTCTGAAAACACTCTGGAAACACTGTCAGGTTCTATCTGAAATGGGAGTCATGCAGATTTCATTACTGATCCCTACAGGAATGGCATCAATGCTCGTTAGCCATTCAATTCTATACTCTTTCAACTACTTTGAAATAGATACGTGCCCTGTTCTTCTTCTGTGTGACATCCACTGTTTCTCTTTGTCGTGTGTGCATGCTTATGATTTATTCACACATTGCAACATTTACAGTGAGTTAGTGAGATTGTTCCACCGGAGTGATTGCAGTCTCCACAATAAATTAGGCATTCTAACATTGTAGTATCAAGCATGTATTCGTGTGAGTAGCTATTTTCTGCGCACTCCATTCTATTTGTTTTGTCTTTTGTTACGTTTCCACCTCCACAGCTCTGCCTTTTTCATTTTCTTTCTTTCTAAATATGCCATATTTTTACTCATTAGCTGGACACAGCACATGCTTTTTGAGATATCTATACGTATGGCAGTGCTAATTCTTTCACATTGAGACAATTATTTCCTCTGTCTAACCTTTACAAAACGTGTTGCATAATTTCTACGGATCTCTCCTGTAATGCAAGTAACTAATCAGTTTGACAGATGCATAAAGGCTTGTCCTTTGTTTTTCCCTTTAATTGTCATCACAGTCAAAGGATGAATTTAGTTCACGTTACTCAGTAGTACCATTCTCTCCAGCAAACTTCAACCTCTGGGTAATCCATGTGAAACTAATTCTTTTTGTGTTTCTCTGTGAAAGATAGGGTAGGAAAAATAACGTCCTGAGTCATTAATCAGATAGAAATAATATTTGGATGGAATAGTTTCACCTCAAGGCCATGAAAGTGCAGGGGAAGAAGGTTGTACTGATGCTAACATAATATTGCAATCCTCATCAGAGATTGTGCTGTTACAATGTCTGCATTCTTGCCCAAAGTTACACAAGGAGGAATTTTACCTGTGTGTTATTTCTCTATATTATTCCTCCGAAAGCAAATCTAAAACTCTCCCATGACAACTATAAATTGATCATCTCATTTCAAAGCAGAAGCATGCCGTTCTGGTCCTGGGCCCTGCTCCTTGTGTGTCAGTGCATCTTGTGACAACAGTGGGAACGTAATCCAAAGCAAGCTTTACAGTCCAGGGAGGGATGATGTCATGCCATTCATACAGATGCACGCATGTGGGTACCCTGCTTTGTCTGCCGTGCTACATATGCCATCAGGAGCAGTCCCAAAACTTGTTTCATATGGTCCAAGCGAGTTACCTAAGTGAAGAACTGTAACGGTCATTATGATTGTAGTTAATGTATTGCTTGAAAATTTTTATCTCTGTAACAATTAAGTTCAACAGTGTGTCACAGCTAAATATTTTTATACGTGGGGACCACGGGGAGTAAAAGGCAAAAGCCACAATTCAACATAGGAGGATCACACGTCCTCCCAGGAGCATCCATTCAGCACATTTATGGATGGTCCATTTCCAAAGCTACTTCCTCATTTGGCTTTCTGGCAGCTTTCAACTGCCACATTTTTAAGCCAGAAAGGACATATTGCTAGAGTTTTGTTTTGATTTGATTGTGTGTGAGAAAAAACTGTGTCTAGATTCTTGGTGTTTAAACATTTGAAAATAGGTCTGGGAACATAGCAGGAATGTTTGGAGGCTTCCCGGTCACACTTGAGTACAATTTATACATACTGATAGAAAAGATGCCAGATATGATATTCCTTGATATTTTGATATTTAAAAAACAAGTTTGTGAGTAATGATGGGAAAGGAGGACAGAGGTGTGGCGTTGAGGGGAGAATTGGTGAAGCTATAATGAAAAATAAGGGAGAGCACAGTCAGAGAAAAATTAGTTTGACTGGACTGGATGTTGTAATTCCTAATAATTCAGTAAGCCCAGATGATTTAAATGACTCCGTACAGAAATAAAAGATGACCTTAGGCAAAGCACTTGTGCTGTTTCTTACCTGGACCACTTGTTGTATTGCACAGAAAACGTCCCATCAGACAAAATAATATAAATCCCAAAACTACTACACTGATACCAATTATTACTCCTCTTTCGTTGGTTTTGACTAGGAGAGAAAAAAAAAAAAAAAAAAAAAAAAAGGAAGAAAGAGATTTAAATGGCAATAATCTGTATAATGAGGTACTTTGCCTTCTCTTTATAGCAGTCGAGGTTCTTGTGGAGTAAGATCACTAAGCATTTGAAACACTTTTCAGACCATGACAAAACCTTGATTTTCAAGGCAGTGAAAAGGTGAAGGAAAAAAGAAAAGGCCAAGTGAGTTTCAAAGTAAATTTAAAAAAATAATAATTTAATTGCAGAATCGAATACTGTCCTTTAGTTTAAAGAAATAAGCGAGCAACAGTCACTCTCTGAGTGCATTTATTTGTGAGTATTTTAAACCAGCAGTTAAAATTGCAGCCTCTTAATTTCAAGTGGCTAGGTTCTAAAATACTAGTTTGAAAAGCTAAAAGTCCAGAAATGATTTTTGCACCTGTATGGTTAGCAGAAAAACTGCATTTCTCCTCAGATTTCATGAAAATTTTCTTCAACGTGTTTTCTTTCTGTTGGAATTGAACTGACTCTCCCACCTCTTTACTTTTCAGTCACATTATTTAAAAATAGCGTATGTTGTAATTATTAGAACTGTGATGGGAAATGTGAATTCTTGATGCTCCATCAGCTCTTAGTACAGACTGTACTGCGCTGGATATGATGGAGTAGCCTTTCAGTCCTCTGTGAAGAGCTTGAAAGCTAATTGATGGCAAAAATTAGTGTAACTAGTCATCTTTTCTTTGCCTAAAGGCCCGATTTGGAACCGTAGGATAGAGAAGTGCCATGAATGCTCCATTGTTTTCCCAAGCATACTCAACTCGATAATAAACACAAAATGAGTAATTCCTTTGGAAGCATTTAAAAGAAACCACCTTTACTCATAAGTTTCTGAACTTAGATAAGCTGACTTGCCACACGTTTAAAATGTTATTTCTGTACTTAGGCTTTGTTGATCCTCGCTACCACCCTTTGTATTGTATTATTATTTGTTTTTCCATCTTTCACTAGTTCTCCGCACTGAGGAGTGCTAGAAATGAGGAAACTGGATGCTGCTGGATTGTATGTGATTATTGAAATAGTAGAAGTGCAATAAGAGTCAGCTAGTCTATAGATGAAGCGTGAGATAACTGATAAGACTTTTGCCAGCGTTTTGCTTTAGGTGAGTTTTGGTCTATTCTAGGCCACCTATTAATTCCTCCATCATTATGTAGCATCCTGCTCAGTGTTTGTTTTCTAGAAAAAGGTTTGATTTCAGCATTAGAAGTTTATTGTAGAATCACAGAATGACTTGGGTTGGAAGGGACCTCGAAGATCATCTATTTCCAACCCCGCTAATTAATCCACTTTAGTTAGACTTCAGCTAAGTACTTACCTTTATTGGTATCTTCTTCCTTACACAGTACAGGAGAAGTGTTGGTAGAACTATGCTTCAGGTCTTCTGTCTGCTGAATGATGTTGAGGTTTGATGTAGGACCATCCTGCGTCGTCGTGGGGGACGTCAGAGCAATGCATGCAGGGAGCGAGGAGGGCATGGTGGAAGGGCCATCACTGGGGAGTGCTGCTGTCACATGGGTGCTCCCTGTCACTGCAGAGCTTCTCGGTGTCGCTGTGAATGGCACGCCAGCAGAAACTGAAGCAGCATCTTTGGTTGCTGTAGAGAAGTCACCCAGTGTTTTAAGTGTTGCTGAGGATATCAAGATTCTTTTCAGCTTTGGGGCAGAGCTGTTTTTTCCATCTTTTGATGCCATAATGAATGTTGAAGGTAATGTGCCATCAGTGGATCTCACAGGTGTGCTGACTGACTGTCTGCTCATCTCTCTTCTGTCTGTTACATTCTTATTGGCACTGGCAGTTGTTGCAGCTTGACTTACAGCAGAGGGAATTAAGGCAAGTAGAAAAAGGAACATGATTCTGCTGGATGGTTGACTGGTATTGCGTTCAAAAAATGTTTTGCTATATGGAGAATGTGCAAGAAATGATTTTATTTTGCAAAACAAAACTAATCAGTTAAGATCCAAATAAGCTTCTTTAGAAAAAGTGTTGGACTGTAGAACACTCAGTAGTTGGCATGTTGATGCTGAAAACTTTACAGCAAGTGTTAATGACTTTAACAGTGAGTCAATAACTGCAAAAAAAAAAAAAAAGGTTTCATGTTTCTATAAACAAGCTTCATACTAAGAGTGGAATAATCCCAAACCACTTTATATAAAGCTTTTATGATGCATAGTTGGATTGTGCATTTGAGGCCATGTTTACAGGCAAGGATGGCTGTACTAAGAGTGTTCTAAAGAGTTATGCTCCATTGTGAAGACTTGTTATTGTTGCAGGTAGCCCTAAAAATGGGCCCATAAGGTTTTATGACTCTGAGCATGGCCAGTCGTATGAATGCTGCCCGCAGCAAATTGAAATCTCATTCAGCCCAGGGATGATGGATGGTGCTGAGTAGGTGAAACGGAAACTTCTAATACAGAACTAGAAACTTCATATTAAGCATTAATTTTTCAAACACTGTATTGAAAACAGTGAAGAACAGTCATCTTGAAATACCTTGGTCATAGCAGATCCACAGTTCAGTATATCAGAGCAATGGGAGAGTTGCTGGTTTTGGGGCAGTAGTGTTTTTTTTTTTTTCCCCAGGTTATATTCACTGGTATTTCAAGTATTTAAAACATGTATTTTTACATAATTGGAAAGAAATGTGATTGTGATATGCATTTTGTGAATACAGCTGAGCCTGTGGTAGGTGTAGTGTCTGCAAAACTTGTGCATCTATTCAGAAAAACATTTGCATTTCATATGGAAACATAAAATCTTCAGGACTATAAATTTAAAGGATCTTTCTTTGCAAGTCATTCAACTGAACCTTGCACTTTTTACTTCCCTTATTATTGTGGCTAGAAAATGCTTTAATTTGTCTAATAAATTACATAGCTTACACAATTGACACAATAAATTTCTTAATTATTTGTTTCTAGATGTCTGGAGTAACATGTTCAGATTTGCAGAGGTTTCATATGTGCACTCGGCTTTTTAAGCTTTATCAAACCCTTCTATTTAAAAATCGATGGAACAAGCATAAAGCAAAGCCTAGAGTTTATCATCTCCTGATATTCAGAAAGAAGCAGTAGCAAATGGTGGTTCCAGAAATGTACTGGATGTTTTGTACAAGTGGCTGTTTGCTCTGAAGTTCAGATTGCCTTCCAAGGATTAGACGCTCCTGATTTTAATGAGCAGTGAATATTGCATTTTCAAGCTTAATTTAGCTATTAAACTGAGAAAATAGTTTATAAGCTTTTAGTAAATTTGAAAAACAGTATGAACGTTGCATAGTATAAATGCACTAGCATTGCTTTCTAAGTGTGTGTTGTCCTTACAGCTAAACAGCACAGACTGTAACAGGGCAGCAGTACCTGTCGTCTCAGAAATTTGGTTTAAGTTGGCATACACAGAGTTTTTCACACCCAGCATTTAAAAGGGACTCTGAACTGACTCAGAGGTATGCTCCATATAGAATTTGGCTGCAGTAATACCTCGTAGCTTCCCAAATGCTATAGAATAGAGCAGTTACTAATTAGATTCACTATTAACAAGCTTTAAAAATACCCCTCAGACTTACCTTGGAGCTCTACAAACCATTCAAGTGTTGGAATGGTGCTGTGACACAGAGTGCAGTCAGCCAGAGTGCAGTCACCAAAGTGCATGAGCCATGTATGTGACAGTATCACACTTGCAAGGAATGCACAGTACAGGTGAACTGAGGTGGGGCATTGCTGAGCAACTCCCCTGTTGTTGTGATTGAGTTCTGTAATTACAGGGTTCCAGAAATTGCAGTGTTTATGGTAGGCAGTCCTTATTGCTTCATCCTTTGAAAGTCTTTGAACCCTTTGTGAAGGGAGGCTGGTTCTATAAGCTGCAGAAACTATTGTTCCGTGTGCAGTACAGCTGTTGATTTAACAAAAGCTGGCTTTGTTAGCACAGGGTTTCCAGTTCTATGCTTTGTGAGGTGAAACCTGGAAAAAAAAACACCACTCCTTACAATATAAAACAAAAAAAAAAAAGGTTATGCTAAGAAAAGCATGCTGTTGAATATTATATAAAACAAGGACTAATGTGATGATCTAGCCAACCCGTGATTTTTTTATTGTTTTGTTCTCTGTGTGTATTTGTTCTAGACTGGTATGGTATGTGGGGAGGAGTGACTCAGAAGTGTTTGAGTGGGAATGCCGTGGCTCTGTTATCTGCATCCACTTCAGATATTTCAAGAATCAAATGCAAATGCTGTTTCATAACTTGTCATCAAGAGAAATGTTGAGTATATGGTATATAAAGAAGATATTCTTATGGGACAACTAGAGGCGTTGCCATGATATGCTGCAGGGAACAAGCAGAAGGATTCCTGTGAATGGTTCTATCCTTTTTATTGCTCCTTTTGGTGTTTGAGGCAGTGGTCCATAAAAGGAAGGAGGACAGAGCCTGATATTGTGGGTTTGGTTTTCTTTGAATCCTGGCATTCTCGTAAAGGAGATTTTCTGCAGTGTGTATCAGCAGACATCCATCTCACATTTATTGCTGTGTCTGGGTGGGCACACATCTAACAGATTGCTCAGGAGATCTGAAAACAAACACCACTAATTTGTGTCCAAATTTGTATCAGATGCAGCATTAACTAAGTGACAAGGAGTTACTATACTAACTTTAACACTGTGCTTTTCACTAACACGTGTTATGGTTCTGATACTGAAGTGTATATATATAAATAGTTCCATGCTATGTGAAAATAGCAAGACCTTAAAAAGGCTGCAGTTCTGTTCCAGAGTAATTGTGTGAAAGTCAGCGCTGCCCTCAACTTCAGCACTGGTCTTGTTAGGGGTCACTCATTTGTTAACAGTTCAGTTCACCTGCTATTGAAAGCAAAATCTGTTTGCCTAGGTGATGTAAAGCCTAATGAGAAGGTGCTGTGTGTCTCAGTTCTTGGCTCAGTGTCATACACTTGCATTGCAGTGCCAGGATGCTGGCCCTCTGTTCCTGGAAGGCAAAGTCTCCAGCAGTGAGCACAAGTGTTAGCAGATGCAGAGCTGTGGCCATATGGAGACAAGGTGTCTGAGTACTCCAGGCAAGGAAGAAAAACATGTTGTTCACCTGTAACCTGTGTGCATTAAGCAGCAGTTTCAATTCTGAAGAGTGTGTTGTAGTAGTCAGTGCTGTAACGAGGTTGTAGGACTGCTTTTATTGCATAGCTTTGCTGCAAGGGAGTCCTAATGAATAAAAAAGTAATGGAGTTTTCAGAAGGTTCTAGCTGTTGCCCAAGCTCTTCAGAGAGGCAGTGGAGAAGGTCCCCTAACTCCTGACAGAAATACCTTTTGCAGTGACCTTTTAGGGAAATGAGCACACCACTCATGTTGATGCAGTGCCTGTTTCACAGCATTTGGAAGTGCTGTGTTCACAGAGCACTCTTGGGTTTTCTGGGCGTTGTTCTATTTCTCCACTGTCTGATTTCCATTCATAGTGTTCAACAGCAGCCATTTTTCTTTTGCTCTTTTTGGCAACGAAAAGCTTTTTCTGTCCCTCTTTCCTGTCCCTCTTAAGCATCAAACATTGTCCTCTGTGGAGAGCAAGTACCTCAGGGCTCCAGTTCAGTACGAGCAGCATCCATCAGCGTAAGGAAAGTAAACATAGGGTAATCTGTGAGAGAGAATCTCATGAACAGAAGGGTTAGGCAGAAAGTCTGCCCTATCAAAGCCATGTTAGATCATGAACGTTCCTGAAAAGTGTTGTAACGTTTCTAAGTCTCATACTGCATTGGCTTTAACAGCTCTTCCACTGATAATGAGAAAAAAAAGGTTATTTTTCCTTTAGGTTATTCAAGTACAAATACTTCTATTTAAATAGGAGAGTTGTGTACTTTTGTTGTTACAAGCACCCAAAACTTAAATGAAATTGGTGGAAAAGACAAGAACCATGCTTGGAGGGATGCAAGAGCACACTATCACAAGTAATATTCAGGAACAAGTTTCTTTTATTCAGATATCCCTCACTGCCAGGTAGTTGTGTGGGGTAAACTTCTAACTGCTAGTCATTCAGTTTAAAATCATATCTGCAGCTATATGTACATATATGTCACTACATTTAGAGGAGTAGTAAAAAAGAAGGAATGTAGAACTATAGGTAGTAGGCTGCCTAAAAGGAAGCAAATTTTCTCATTCCGTGTTTAAGATCACTGTTTTCTGGGGAAAAGTTGGGCAAAGCCTCATTCTGTAAGGCTCTCATCCAAACCAGGTGTTTGCCCTTTATAGCTCTTGTTCTGTGGAGTAGAATGGGCAACCTCCATGGCAAACTGCAGTGTTTGGAAAACTTAGTTATTCATTGGTTGTAATTATTTTGGTAGGACCTAACACAAACATAAAATTAGGTGAAGGCTATGATTATGATCTTGCACACAGATAAAAAAAATTATTTAAAGAAATATCTTAGTAGTGAAGATAATCCAGTAGGAACTGGTGTAACTGAGTGAAGCATTGCTGGTCTTGTTCAAATGGGATTAGAATCTTGTTCTGCCTTTACGGATACCATTGTGTATATATGCTTTTTTCTTCAGAGAAAAAAACATATAATATATTTGAACCATATAATATATTAAACCATATAATATATATATATATATAATTTATTTGAACAAAAATTCAAAGCAAATTAATTTAGGAGGGGTGATGGTGTTTGGTATTAACAGGTACCTGTTTGTACAGATATGGCAGAAAGCACAATAAAAAGTTTTAGATGAATGTCATAAAAAAAAATAACAGAGCTCCCGTTTTGACTGTATTTATCATGAATTTATTTACAGTTTTCACATTCCGTGGACTGTCGGGCAGAAAATGTCTAAGGAAAGTTATCATGTTTCAAATATGTTGATTCTCCTGAGTTCTGCATGGTGTTCTTTCTTTCTTTTGCCATAACTAAATGTAGTTGATGATTTCCACAGCTACAGTCTTTCTAGAATTTTGGAAGAGGCGGAGAGCTGTATTAACCTATGACTGGGACCTCATAGATTGGGAAGATGAAGAGGTAAGATGAAGCAGAAGTAAATCTTTAAAAGCTGCAGTCAGCCCTATTCAAGTGTAGATGGGAAAACATAATGCCAGCCATCTGAATTTGCCATTCACATTGTGTTTGCGGTTCTTACACTAGTTGTGGAACAAATCCCAATGTCTTCCTACATTTGTTGAAAGCACCCTTTGAAAAATTTAGTGGATTTTTTTTTTTTTTTCCAGTTTACAAAGGGTTCTTTAATAGAAATAACGCGCACAAGCTGTAATAGCCGTAGTAAAGTGATGGATCTTTTCAAAGAGAGTGCAAGTTTAAGAGTTGGTCCACTCTTGGCAAGCCAAGCCAGTTCAGGGCTTCAAGTTTTGGGGAGTGATTGCTGCCTATAATTGACAGTAAAATATATCATATAATATATTCAATATATACTGGGAAAGAGTGGAAGTATATTGATGTTTTTCCTTTCTACAAGACGTGTTTGTAAAGAGTGTCATAATGGGGCTCTGGATGAGCAGACAGCTCCATTTAGCCACCCAGCTAGGCAAAGATGCCATTGCTAGCAGTGAACAAAAACTAAAACTCCAGAGTGAAATAATATACATACAGAGGAGCAAGAGCTACCACCAGTGCCAGCACAAATCCCTACAAGATTTTAATTCTACGGTCCTGTAAAGTTCTAATCCTTGAAAGTTCTTAATCCTGTCTAGAAACAGAAGGAATGCAAGCAAAGGGTCAGAGAGTGGATTTTAAATCCTTCTGAGAGCAATAATTCACTCTCTGACATTCTGCTATCAGCTTCAGCAATGATCAAGTGATTTTATTACTTTACTCCATAAATCATAGTGACTATAGCTCTAATGTAACCTAACTATACTGTTTATTCACACACAGTGTAATTCAGTAGAGACTTTATCATAATGTGCTTTATAGCTTTCCATAGACTTGTAGATACATCTAGTAGCTTTTAATAAGTGCTTTCATATCAGAAAAAGCACCATCATGACTGGCATTAATTTATAGCGTTCTTATCAATTTCTGTAGAGAAACTGGTGTTTAAACAGCATTGTGTCCTTTCCATACCCTCACAGACTGGGGAAGGCTCAAAACTTCTCTCTTCTTCATCGATCTCTGGCACCTTTTCCAAGGATTTTCAAAAGAGAAAAAATTGCTTGAAGTGGAACATTATTAAAAAAAAAAAAAAGTTTTATGTCAGGAATTTTTTTTATATCACATTCTGCCTGATTTTTTTGATAGTTCAATGAAATAGTACACCAAATGAGATCTCTCCTCTTATTCCAGGAAGAACTGCGTCCCCAGTTTGAAGCTAAATATTCTCAAGTTGAAAGAGTAAATCCCATCACAGGAAAACCTGAACCTTTTCAGCCTTTTCCTGACAAGCTCAGTCGACTGATGGTGTCTGTCTCAGGAATATTCTTCATGGTGAGGTTTAATAATAGTGCAATTAGAGCCTTTAGTCTTTTCCAGATGTAGATACTGAACTAAGTCATTAATGAGTTTGTTATCTATGACATAATGTAGACTATGCTACATACACAATGACTTACACAATGTAGGTAAAACAATCAGTTCGATATTATTGCTTGTTTAGGGATCTCTTTGTTTTAAAAGATGTGATACTGTTGCCTTGTAGAAGTACAAGAAGGAAATGTTTTAATTCAGCCATTTAATATTTTGATTCTCTCAAAATTTGCTCCCAAGACAGATGGGCCTCTTTAAAACTCCTGCTAATTTATTGATGCAGTGGAAAATATTCCCAGTATGGTTTTCCTTGTTCTAATTTCTCTCCTCATAAACCTGCAGATTTCACTCGTCCTCACTGCAGTTTTTGCGGTCGTGGTGTATCGTCTGGTAGCCATGGAACAGTTTGCTTCCTTCAAGTGGTATTTCATCAAGAAGTATTGGCAGTTTGCAACATCTGGCACTGGAGTCTGCATCAATTTTATGATCATCATGTCGCTCAATGTTGTAAGTCTTCACCTAATGGGGAGATTTATTTAAAAGAGCAATTTATACAAGGTTACTCAGTTTACTGGGTATCAGATATGTATGCTAGTATTTCAGGGATTTTTTTCCTCTTTTAATATTGTGTTTATCAGTGTTTTCCTCTACTGCCTATTTTATTTGTCACTAGACATCTTAGATTGTGCCACCAGTCACTGTAGTACAGAGCACTGCTTTTGACATTTGCCTTTTAATTTTTCATGTACCTTTTACAAAAAGCCAGTTCAGTTCTCCAAATACAACTACATTGTTTTCTTGAAACAAAATTTCATTTTCCTTTTCTGTTTTGTGGTTGTTGCTTTATTTTATTTTACTGTTTTAATTGATGACTTCAATCAATGAATTGATTCTTAATTAAAATGCAACTTTGATACCATTGTTGCTCAGACCCGGAAGGACTGTGATTTACAGCTCATGTCTGAGTTTTCCCTTTCAAATAATAGCACAGGTTTCATCATTTGCTGTGGTAGCGTGATGTATGTTGGCATAAACTCTATAGATGCAATAGCATGCATCATTTTTCTTTTCCTCTTCAGACGTGAATAGGTAAGAAGGAGCAATAAGTCAGCAAACAGTGTCTTTTATTTCTTTTAAGGACGCTGTGGACTTATTGCAATAAGAATGCAGTCTTTAACATGAGCTGTTGTGTATTTATTTCTGTTACTACATATTATGAATGAGTCAGTTCAAGTTAAAAAGCACACCAAAATTATGGACAAAGCTATGGATATTG